CCAACTATTGTCTGAATTTATGCGAGCACTGCCTCCAGTGTCAAATCGAGTACAACATCGACAGGACGCTCTCCCTCGAGAGTTATCTATCTGTTCACATATTTTCATTCGAGTTGATTCAATACGCAAACCCTTGCAACAACGTTACGAAGGACCTTTTCACGTGTTATCTCATTATGAAAAAACCTTCAATGTCGAGATCGTCAACACTGATCGTCTCAAGCCAGCACACGTCGATGACAATGTCCTACTTGTTAATCCAAGACCCAATGCTAGACCTATCAGACCAATTAGCGGGATCCTTAAAACTACTTCGGATCCCTTGCGAGACCCCATTCTCGCGTCCCAGTCATCAGCACACGTCATCTGGACTATCTACGGATGAGACTCTGGTCTCACTTAGAAATCAGCGGACCATGCTGCCTTTGACTTCAGATGAGGTTGACGGCACACGAGGTACTCACAAGACTACCGTCCCGCGTTCCGGTCGCCGCGTGCGCCTATCTGCACGCTTTCTTGAATAACCACCCACGCAACAACGCAAACGTGATAGTAACCTTTCCTCGTACTACATGTATGCTTCAATTTTCGCTTTCTCTTTCATTTTGTATCCTGAGCCAATATTTACGACCATTGACCTGTTGGTACCATCGACTTCGGTCAACATTGGTGAAAGTTGGCTTGATGACCCACGTTCTAGTCAATGCACTCAGTCGATGTTCTGGTTCCGAATGCACGTCATACGAGTGGTTTCGAATTTGGTCATTCTGTTCGTTTCTGGCTCTTTCGCTCAATCTGGTTCCGTCCAACGTCTGCAGCTTTTTCGGGTACGAACCCTTACAAAAGCAATCTTCAGACTCTGGATACGAGCCACGCTGGTGTGGAACGCCAAGCCGAGCACTTAACTTGGCACGTTAGGAATGGAATAGTTCAACGTAGATGACTATCGGTGACAACACGAGCTTCATTAGTCGCTTTATGCCCATCAACCCTTCCACCCTACAATCGCCCCTTAGTTGACCGGCACCCATTCCGCACGAAACCGCTGCGTATCGAAAGTGTACAACCTTTCTAAGGGGGGGGACTAATGTAGTGGTATAATTTTACGGAGATAACACAAGTGATGAAACAAACATTTATTCTTACCTAGTGTAGAATCTATTTGAATGTTTTGTTTTTTGGAAAATCCCTCCATGTTTATATATATTTGTTTTGACATGACGGACTCTTTCTGTTGACATTTTGGTGTTTTATTTGATTCCAATTTGAGATTTTATCATTGTATATTGTATTATTCTATATTTTGTACTTATATTGAAGTTTTTATGTTTGCTTCTGAACTGTACATATGTTGTTTAAATTTGATATAATATGGCTACAGCCACATTTTTGGATTTTGATATCGTGCGGTATA